AATTAATACATTTAATAAACTAATAATAAATCCAATAATAATATATATTTTATAATCATTTAATATATTATTATTATTTAGGATTTTATTAATCAAAATGTATTATTTTATTTTAATTTATTATATATAAAATATTTTTATTGATAAAAAAATATATATATTAATTATATTAATATTAATAATTACTAAATATATTATTAAAATAAATATAATTTAATAACTATTTTAATTAAAATTATAATATTTAATAAATTATACTTATCAATCAACTTTAAAAAATATTTTAATTAAGAAAGAAATAATAATGATAAGTTTTTTGTTTAATTTTATATTTTTTTTAAAAAATACAGTAAATAATAATAGAAATGTAAATTTTAATTTAATATTATATAAAGCTATTATTAGTTAAAAAATATTTATTTTTATTTTTATATCTTTTTATTTTTTTTTATTAATTGATAAAAAAGTTTAAACATTGTTATTTTAATAATAATAATAATTTAAAAATTCCTATTTATATAATTTAAATAATTTTTTTTAAAATAAAAAAAAATGTTAATATTTAAAAGAATTATTTCTATAAAAAAAAAGCAATAATGTTACATTCAATAATAATTAAATTAATTTCTATCATATGTTGTTATACATTAAATGACATTATTGAATCCTTAACATAAAATTTTACAGTTCGATCAGCTACCCATTCAAACTCAACAAATTCTAATATTGAAGAAACGGATAAATATGCTAAATTGAAAACAAAATAACTTAGCAAAAAAAAAAGGGGGTAATAATATCTACGATTTAAACATAATTTCAACCTACCATCTTCACCAAGATTAAAACTGAATGTTTTAAAAGGTTTAATAGAACTTAATAAAGGTGCTTTAAATCCTTTAGCAACATCTATTCTTGATGATCCATTACTATTTCCTCCATTACTATTTGTTAATGATCCCGCGATCATTCCAAATAGCCCAGGATTTAGATTCCATACCCTTACCGTGCCTTCTTCCAATGAACAAGATACAATTAATTGTCCATCTCCTGAAAACGTTAACGCAGTAACCGGTTTTGTATGTCCCTAAAAAACGTTTTTTTTTTTTTTTGTTAAATATAAGTGAGTTGAGAAAAG